AAAAAAATAAAAAATGTTAACTTCTTTTTTTCTAATGGTATTAAAAAAAAAAGTTTCATTTTCTTTTTTTTTTTTTCTTGTTGCTATTGTTTATACTAAATTTCATTTTAAACACAATGACAACGAGAGAATGATTGACATTATTCTATAACCAATAAATAAAGTGTCAATTTACATAAAAAAGAAAAACGTGTTCTCATACGAACCGTTTTTCTATTTGTCTTTGATTCTATCGCTGTTAGTTGTTATTAGAATTCGTCTTCAATTAACATAGAAGAACGTATAGAAATCGACGAGAAGTTAATGGTGGTGAGAGTGGCTTTGTCATCAAACCAATACATAACAACCACCATCATTGGCAACCAACATCTGTACATAAATTTTCATATTCGTTTTTTTTTTTTTTCTTCGATGTATTTTGTCTATTCTTTTTTTTAGAATAAAATAGTTACAACATCTTTTTCACTTTTTTTTTTCTTTTTGTTTTAAATAAAAGTTTGCGATAAAATGTCGTCTATCATCTTTCAACCGTTATTACATGATCCAATAGGATGGAAACCATCAAATTCAACATATACGGATCATTATAAATGGAGAAAATATCGATCAAGAAGTAAAGATAAAAAAATTTCAACATATGGTCAAAAATATCAAAGACAATTACAAAAACAACAAATAAAACAATGTTTACTTGTACCATCAAATGAAGAAAAAATAAATAATTCTGTTATTGTAGTAAAAAAATCTGAAGATAATCAAGAACGACCTAGTTCACATCGATCTACATCATCAAAATCACCAGTTATTATTGTTGAATATAGACAACGTCCAGCTACAGCTTATGAGGTTATTTTTTTGTTTTAAAATAATTATAAAATATTTTTATAATCGCTTGTTTTTCTTCAAGGACACTAATTGCCAATCAAAAGCATCACAACGTTCACAATCTGCACTTCCAAATATTGAAGGTAAATAAAACTTATAAAAAAAGAAAAAAAAAATTTCTTTGTTATTTTAATAGAAAGGACTCGTCCATTGACAGCACCTGAAACACGTCAAACACCAAGAGAAGAAAAAGAAAAACGACCAATTGACCCTAATAATGATAACAGTCGTCATTGGCTTACTTATCCAAATCCTAAAACACCTGATTATATAAATGATATAAAAAAACGTTTAGGACAATTAAAAATACCTTCAACTCTTGGTCGACCATCATCAGCATCGAATGTTTCAATTCAACAACAACAACGACAACAACAAACGCCTCAATCAAATAATCGGCCATTATCTGCTTCAACTCAAATTCAACATAAACAACAAACAAATGATGATCAACATCATTTTCTTACATTTAATACTCGTGATACACCAGATGATTTACGTGCTACTCGTTATCGTATTGATAAACATCGATATAATCCATCATTAGATAGTTATCCACCACGTCCAAAAACATGTCCTGTACGTGTTCATGATACTCCTAAACCAATAACACCAAAAGAATCTGAAAATGAACAAATTCAACCAATGAAAAATGATGTATGGATTGTTGAAGAAGAAAAACCATCAAATACATTAGATGTTGAATCGCCATCAATTCTTATACAAATGGTTGATTGTGATGGTTTACCCAATGAATATGTTGAAGCACTTGAAACAGCTAATGCTGCACAAGAAACATATTTAAGAAATTTGAAAATGAATGCTGAAAGAAGACCTGATAATTCCGTTTATCGCCTATCGGAGAATAAAAACGATTCTTTAGTAAGTAAATAATCATTAAGAAAATGTTCATATATATATATATATAAGAATTCTTTTTCATCTATATATAAAAAAAAAAGGTTACTTATCCAAGTCAACAGCAATCAACAACAATGAATAATCAATTGCGTCAATTAGCACGATCATCACACAATGATTTTGGTGTTTGGGTTCGAAATGCAACAGATAAAGGTTAGACACATAAATTATTTCTTTTCTTTTTTTTTTTTGAAAATTTTACTTTCATTTTCTTAGAACGAGCATCAGCTATGAAAATTTTACATGAAGTTCTTAATCAACCAATTGTAGGTTATGAAAATCAAACAAAACATAAACCTGTTTTTAAACAAGCACCAGCACCACCACCGATTCGTACTTCATCAGCAACAAGAAAATTAGGTCGTACACGTACTCAACATCAATTTCCATGTGAAATATGTGAAAAACTTCTTATTAAACGTCATGTATGGGATTTAAGTGGGTAAGAAAAATAATTTCTAAATTAAAAAATAAAATAAAATTTTCATATAATTTCTTAATAATTAAACTATTAAAACAGGTCAGAAAAATTAACTTGTCCTCATCATCCTCAGAGTATTCAAGTTCGAGCATAATAATATCATAGGTTAGAGCATGTATGTCACTTGTGTTTGTGTATATTCACCAATAGATTTTTTTTTTTTTGTGTTTTTGTCTATGATATTTATTTTATTTTAATATATTATTTTGTTTGTTTTAGCCATGATTGTCCACATTCTATAATTATCAAATGAAAACAAAATATATGAACACATGATTCTTCTTCTTCTTCTTCTTTATTATTTTTTTTTTTTAATCACTTATTTTTTGTAAAAATAAGAAAGAAATTATAAATATTTTTAAAGACAATATGTCATAATAAAAGATTTTTGATGATGAATTCAAAAGTTTTAAAGAATTTGTTGTTGTTGTTCGAAAAATTAAATCACGTAATTGACGACGTCGAATTTCATTACATTGAATAAGTATACCATGTGTTTGATTTATTGAAAATTGTCGAATTTTACGTTCATGACTTGTTAAAATATTTAATATTAAATTATCACGTTGATGATGAATATGTTTTTGATTCATTTTTGATGTTACAAAAATATATTTTGATATTGTTGGAGACATTTCAGTTGTTGTTGGAATTGATATCAATTGAGAAGTTATAGTTTGTTTGGTTGTATTATAAATTTTAGGTTCAATAGTATATATTACAGATTTATATTTTGAATGTAATGGTATAGCATTTAATTTTTTTATAAGCTGAAAAAAATGTAAGGAGAGAAAAAATATATATATAATATAAAGATTTATTTCATATAACTAACTTGTTCAAATGAAAAAATAGGTGTTAATTGAGATGAAGTCATAGGTAATACTTTGAATTTTTGTGTTATTATATTCATATTAGTAGATTTATCTTGATTAACTAATGAATGTTTTTTTGTCATTAGTGATTGTGTATGTGGAAATAGTTTTATATATTTTCTTGTACTCATACTTATTCTTGATGTACCAAACGATCGAATTAGTACACAATTCACCTAAATATATTCATAGATCTAATATAAAACAAAAAAGTATCAATACTCACTAAACTTGATATTTCACATTCTTTTAATTGAAAATCAAATTTAGTTCCAGCTGGACAAGTACGTTTAATTGCTCGCATATAATTTGTACCAACATATATGCAATGCCAATAATGTCGACAATTATTTGTATTATATACAGGATGAACTGAATCATCTTCATAACCTGTACAATCAAATGTATCTTCACTATAAATTTGAATAAATAATATTGTTATAAAAATTACAATGGACAGCCATGATGCTGCCATATTATAAATAAAACTTTGTCTAGAACAACATCAATGATTGGTAATTGATCAAATAGTTCGTTGTTCTTTTTTTTTCTTCTGTCTATGTATACTTACACAATTTAACAAAGGATTGATTTAATTTACTCTAATTGTGTGTGTGTGTCACATCAGTCAAAGTCAATTATCAATTTTTAAAGCTTTTAAATAACATTATTCTATTGATTAAAATTCAAAAAAAACAAAAATTTCTTGTTACAATGCACAATTCATTGATTTTTTTTCTTGAACAACAATACGTTCAAAATTTTGGTAGACATTCGGTGCAAAACTCGATGAAAATTTATGTTCAATAGTTTCATAAGTAGATCTGTTAGAAACATTAGCTGATTTATAAGAATCAAGATGTATCATTATTGTCTCAAGTATCGATTGTCGAGCATGTTTATGTCTTTTATTTTGATCCTTTTGTGATGATGATGTAACTTGTGTAAATGAATGATTATTAGCTTTTGATAAAGTTTCATCTGGATAATCAATTGGAATTGTTGGAATTTTATTTCTATTTTTCCGATAAGATATTGGTGCACTAATTATACGTTGATGTTTTGTTGGTCTAAATAAAAATTAAAATGAATTATTTTATTTTTAAAAAAACAAAAAGAAAATTTTCTACTATAACTTACATTGGAGGTAATTTAGTTTTTAAAGTACATTTTGATCGATGTTCTATTAATGTTGGAATATTATTTGATGTAATAATTCGATTTGTTTTTAATGATGTATTATTAGATTGTTTTTTATAATTATTTATTAAAATTTCTTGAGATTGAAATTTTGTTCGTTCTCCTCTTCCATGATTTATATATTCTTTATATAATTGTTCTTCAGATAAACAATTATTAATTGATTGATCTTTAATTAATCGAGTTTCTTGTTCTTTACATTGTCGATTGTAAGCAATTAAATCTTTTAATCTTAATTCATAAAGTTTACAATAATATCCATCAACTACTAATGGTGAATATTGATTGATATAATCTTCAAAAAAATCAATTGTAAACGTCAAAGGCACCTTCTTTTTTTCCATACAAAAAAAAAAGAGAAAGAAATAATAATAATAATAATAATAAGTGTAACGTTAAATCGATTTTGATTAATATAAGCACATTTTTTTTTCCTTCAGTATTGATTTAAAATTTTAATACTTGATTGCTTTTAATGATGACTAACAAATGATGGCAGATAGATGCTACTAGAGAAACGAAAATTGTCCGATTCTATGAAGCCGTTTGAGTGTTAACAATTATCGAACAAAAAGAAGTTAGTATGAAGAAGAAAAAAAAACACTTTAAAACGATGTTTTCTTTTATAAGATGTAATACAAAAAAAAAAAATGAATAGCTTGTCGATTAATTGACTATTATGTACACTACTATTCATTTGTTTTTTTGAAAAATCGTATAAAAAAAATACACTTTTTTTTTTGTTAATATAATCGATTAATATAAAAACGCTTAGTTATTGAATTATCTGATTTTTATAAATGTATGTAAAGATTTTATTGACATTTATTACTTCACTTTGTCTATGACAACATAAACAAAGGTTACTATATAGACAGATGATATTAAATCGAGCATTTTCATAAAATATCTTACTTTTAATATAATCAATAATTTTTGTTATTAGAATAATCCTTTTGAATTTTTGTTTAAAAAAAAAATTGCTGTAATTTTATTGTGATCTCTGGTAATAAGAAAATGTTACAGAGTATACAGAAAATATTTATCATACACTGTCAAATATTATTAACCTTACAACAAAGATTTTGACATACGCTTTGATTTATTACAATCTACCAGATGGTAATTATATCAATATTCTCTCGCGTATCAATTTACTCTAGAAACGAGTATTTATATGTAATAAATATATGTTAAGTTATTCTACATATTCTGAAAAACTCAATCCTATAGACTATTGTTCTATCGAGTTATTATTGAAAAATCAGCGTTATGAATGCGACATAAATAAGGACCAAGGTTTTCACTGTACTTTTTTCCTTTTACAAATACAGCAAGTCCAAACTGAATACTGAGTTTTTGTAGAAGATCTCCTTAAAATTACTAAATCTCAATGCACAGGTTTTTCTAAATATGCTTAACTTTTCTAAAAAAAAATCGAATTTATTAATTGTTAGTGATGTCAGTGAATATAAATATAGAAATGTAAACTTCTCTCGTAACTGAATGAGAAATTCAAAAAATAATTCTAAATGATATAAATCCTTCTTGAGAATCGTAAGATGATATTAAAATAAAATGTCTCGTTGTAGGACATGAGCAGGTCTTCAGGCAACTGATTTTGAAATTCTTAGATTTTTTCATCATAAGGTTAGACGGGTTATTCGCTAATCATGGGAAAAGAACTTGTTAAAAAGTCTTTATAAAGAATCGAAATTTGTTTTGTTCAATCTTATTTTTCTTTTGAGGTATTAACATTAAATAACTCTTCAATCTAATGATAAAGGAGTTCAAGAGTTTCTAAATAAACTTCATACCAAAAAGTTCATCTATGGTAAAATTTTCAACAAAATTAAACTCTAAAAAAAAAGTCTCCTCAAAACCAGTTTTTGCAGAAATCTGCCCTAGTGCTTAGAACGAGATTTTCTATTTTGCTATCATCTCGAAATTTTTCAAAAGTATTTTTATCATTTAAAATTGATTTTGAAATATCTCATTTAGTTACAAGAGAAGTTCGTACATAGTTACATCACTAACGGCGAATAAACTTAATTTTTTTGAAAAATTTAAGTATGTTCAGAAAAACAACTGTGTACTGAAATTTTATAGTTTGAAGATTTTTCCATAAAATGCATTATTTAGTTTTCAAAAATATTCTTTGAGCTTGCAGTATTTGTAAATTGAAACATAAGTAGCGAAAATCTTTGTCCTTTTTTGTATCAGATCGCTAACGCTAGTTTATCTGAATATCTAGAGTAACTCAGCATTAGAGAGCTGCGGGTTTGAAAATTTAGCTTTTCCCGGGCCCGGGTCTAAGCCTAAGAGGAAAGTCAGACCCGGTCTGCATTAAGTTATGAATGGAAATATATAACAATAACAATTGAAGTTAACAAAATTGAAAAAGAAACAGTCAGAAATAATTTCACACTCATTTGACCTTTAAAGTCGCCAATGAAGAGCTAAAATTGTGTTCCCTTTTCTGTTCATGTACACATAGGATGTCAAATATTGGTGAAAAGAGGATCGGGTCTAGACCCGGCTGGGTCTGGGTCTAGACTCAGCCGGATCCGGATCTAAAAACTTAGTTTTTCCGGGGCCCGGGTCCAAAAAAACATGAACCCGCAGCTCTCTACTCAGCATATATCTGTAATATAAAAATTAGTTAAAAGACATGCCCGAATTCAGAGATATAAGAATTCTTATTTTACGAAATTGCATCGCTAACGAATGACATTGCGTCCATACGATTTATTTCTTTTTTTGGTTAATAAACATAGATTAATCAAATTATATACGAATATGTCGATATTTGATTATAATATTTTATATTTTGTTTTTTATTGTTAGTAAAGTTTGTCAATATAATAATATTATTGACGTCAAATTTAAAATACAATGAAATCTCTTCGTTTTATTTTATACTCTACAACTTGAGCATACCAAGTAAAATTCAATCTCTAGTTGACATAAACAAAATGTTAGATTGAGTGAAAGATTTACATTAAAACTCGAATCAAATTCTTATTGATGAGTTCTATCACAGCAATAGCATGTAAGATAATATAATCATTGGTTGTCTAAATAAAGTTTGAATCCATAAAGTTATGGACGGTTTAGGATATAAGAATGGTTTCAAAGAAAAATTATTCATAAATGTTTGAAATCTTAATTTAATTTATTCATTGAGATGAGTGTACTCTATTTCATATATACGAAATAATTTAATTCAATAAATACATATTCTAACAATTATCAAATTATTCATATTATTTACCAATTTTTTTTGGTATATTTAATATCATGCATAAGTAAATTTCATAACATTTGCCTTTGATACATGTCTTAAATTAAGCAAAATCTGAGACCTTCGATTGAGCACATTCTCTGGAAGTGTTTAGTCTCGACTTCTTAAACGTAGAATTAGATTTTACTATTTCAACTATTTTTTCATAATTATGGTGCTGTTAATACTCTGTTCGAAACACAGTAAAAAAAAAAACTCCTATCATAACAATTATAATTAATTCTAGTGCATGTAGTTTATCCTTTTTCACAAAATCTCTTTGATTATTCTACGACTAGTCAACCGAGAAGAGATCAATTTTCAACAATACACGAGTCGATTCTATATCTGTATTTTCCAAGAAATTTTCGTGGTTTTAGTTTTTCGAAGACTGTCTTTCTTTTTATTTGTATCAGCATTAAATAAATATTCTTATATAAGTTAAACACGACAGATGGTGTCAACAACGTGAATACATTATGAATATATTACTATTTCTGGATTTGAATGACAAAGAAACTCGTGTTTAAACTTATTGATCGTTTTTCTCAGAGTATAATCTTCAATTAGAAGAATTGAAATTCTTCCCACTCATGTGTGATATAAATATCATTTTAAAATTCTACAATGGATGAATTTTGATTAACAAAATATGTTTGTTTTATACTAGGTGTTCTATGGAACTATTCATATATTGTTTCTGCTACTCCTTTCGTTACACATACTGCATAGATATATTGTTGACTTCAACTTTTTATTTTTCCATTATAATTCATCATTTTATGTATTTACACCTTTATCGTATATCTTCCTCTTTACTATAAACTTAACCTATGACTGTATTGGTTAATAAATTATACCATTAATCTCCTAAACACCAATAATTCTTACATTCTGTACAAAGGCAGAGAAAAAAAAACAAATTACTTTCTCTTTCGTTCTGTCACTGTCAATCAGCTCTAGGAATATTCTGTATTTTATCATATATATCCCATAGATTTATGCTATCATCTTGCTATTCTTTCTCTATGTTGTAAGAAAAAAAGAGTCATCTTCTATGCTATTATTGCGTTAATTTTGAATAATTTTCTCGATCATACCGATCTATTTTTATATTTATTGAATTACATTGGGATGAGCTTACAGGACTAATATATTAAGCAATATTCATTCAAAATATTGTTGCAATAAATCTATGAAGAAAAACAACTTCAGTGAGCCGCGAGCGGCCGCTCGGTGGTTATCAAACGGTCGTTCCACTCAGTAAAAAAGCTTACGGAGCGGTCAGCACCGCCGTCCGCTCGTCGATTTCTAGGAGCGGTGTACATCTCTGCTCTGTACGTCTTATAGTAATAAAGTTACCAGTGTCAAGCTGAAACTTTTACATAAAGTGTCTCTCACTAGAATCACTTATTCCTAAAAATTTCAGCCCAAATGAACTATTCTAAGTGGTACATCGATTGTGAGAGCAGGATCCCCTTAAGAACTTATGGTGCTAATCAGAATTTAAATATCATTAGCTTCCCGTAGTATAAAAGATTTGTTAATAGCTAATCATTATTGTACGTTCGTAATGGTATTTTGTTTTAGAATATTTCATGTATCTGATTTATAATGCATATTTATTGTTTTGTGTATGTCAAGGTATCGGTATATTTTTTCAAAAATGAATGAGACAAAAAAAACAAAGAAGAAAATGGAATCAAACAAAAAAAAAAGACATGAATAGTTATTTTCTCATTATATATTAGTAGAAAATATTCTACAAAAAAAAAAGAAAACCGTTGGTCATCTCCTACAAATTATGTTGACTAAAGGAATCAAGAAAATTAGTCTCATCGTGTGAAAAATTTCTATTATAATATATTTGTTTTAACTTTCAAGTTCCAATCCCAAACCAACTTTATGTCCACCAGCATTCAAATTTCGAGCTTCAAATAAAGCTGATAATGTTAATTTAAAGCCTAAATAATCATTTTATAGACAAAAAAAAAAAAGAAAACAATTGAAAAATGTATACCTGGACGAAGAATTTGTTGAAATGAAAGTCCAACTTGACACATATTATTTACTTTAGCACCAATTGCAGTTTGAGAATCAAGTTGATATTTTGATGCAAGTGCAAATCGTGTTTGATTTGTACCTGTTGTCCATGCTAATTGTACACCAGTTTCAAGTCGATCATTTATACGATGATAAACACTACTACCAACTTCATTTCCATCATTTCTATTCAATAAAAAAATAAAATAAAATAAATCAAATCAAAAAAAATATAGATTTATTATATAGTTTTAAATAAACCTTTGTTATCTTATCTATTCATGTAATTTAAAATTCAAAAGTCTTTGGTTTGTGTTAACACATTTATCAACGCGCATTGTCCTTCGGAAAAGTGAGATAATAAATGGACAATAAAGAAAATTTTTATCTACATAATTTTGTAGCCATTATATCGTCTGAAGTAATAGCTATCAACTGAGTATACTTTCGATTTCAAAAATTGTCCTTAAATGTTAAAAAATTTAATTAACGAAAATTGTACCCTGTTTCGAGTTTTGTTTTTAAACTAACTTTTTAATGAAAAAATAAGTGCGGAAGCGCTCCTATTTCTCCGATCGAGCTGAAACTTTTTTCATATATACTAAACACTGTTTGATATAAAGTATTTTTTCTTGTTTGAAAAACTACTGTTCTATTGATAACTCTGACAAAAAAAAACACATCTGTGTTTTTTCCTCTATTATTTCAAGGACAAAAAAAATAAAAAGGTAGTCATATCAAGCAGTGTAGAATGCCTGTAAAAAAAATTTTCGGCATCTCAGAGCAATGAGAACCATTATAACGCCAGTATTTCATAGAAGACAGCGCCCGACAACTTTTGTTCTATTCATCAAGATCTACCTGTCCTGAAAATTGCAAATCCTTGGGAAAGTGATACCTTTAAGTTCTCTATGAAACTCATTTTGAAAATATTAGATTAATAACCATTCTAGAATCCATTGGATTGATCCCGGATCTGAAAATTTTGGATCCGGCGAGTTGTAGTATTCTTTGTTATCTATCAGACAATTGCTGATAAGAACATCAATCTTTTTTTTCTTATTTCTATGTTAGTTCGGATTTTTTTGACAAAATCTGATGTCAAATATTCTTGACAAATGGAATCTTTCACTCTAAAGAAGACAATTATTACCAAAGAGAATGATTAAAAGTGCAAAAGACTTTCAATTGAAATTCTATGTAAAATAAACTTTGAAATTTCTTTGTATTCTAATATCTGAAGACTCTGTTATAATATAGAATTTACGGTATTTATCAAAAGTTCTGCTACTAGGTAAAACGTATATTAATCTGAACCTTGATCACAAACAACAATCAGGACTTGATCGATCTTTATGCCAAGAAGTTAGAAATTCAATATCGACTTTTTATTCAGATAAGAATATTTCAGCATTAGCAACGAATCTCATAGTATTTAATCCCTTATTCGAGAGAATATTCTCAGATGATCCGCGCAATTCATCTTCATATGATGCTGATATGTAAGAACCAATTAGATTAGAATAATATCCAAAGAGGTTGTGCTCGTATTGGATTTTTCCGTGTCGGAAGCTATCATATCTTCGAATTTCGACTTGAAATTTTGCTAACATGAAGGACACTCTCGGATTAACTCCAGCAAAAAGTTTCATTATTTTCCGGCATTGCGTCTCCAAAATATGAATCCTTCAAAATTAGGACACTATGTCCAAAAATGATGAAACCTTATACATGGTGATAGTCTAAACGAAACTTTTGTGTTGATAGAATTTCAGGTCGAAATTCGGAGATATGACTTTACTCCAAAATTGACTTTCTAAGAGGAAAAATCCATTAAAAAATTTTATATCGCAGCTAAATCTGTTAGGTCATCTTTTATGTGTTATTATTGGGGCCTAAAAGTATAATAATCTTACCGTGGAATTGACTAAATAATAATGATGTTGATGATGATGGAGTAACGGAATAAGAAGTGTAATATAAGCGGAAGGGGAGATTTATTATGATGATAACACTGATAATAATAATAATGGAAGACGAATCGGAGATAATACAATACAACTTTCCACTAGATAGGAGAAAGTTCAACTGGACTATATCAAAATCTGAGAAAATCCGAAAGAAGAAAAACCAACTAATAGAAGAACGAAAGAGAACTCATCAACAAATGAGAGAATAACAAGAAAAGACCAATTGAACGAAATTCAATTAAGTTAGCATCAACATAGTGTGATCTGTTGACGCTAACAATATCTCAATAAGAACACAAACTCTTTGGCTATTATTCTAATCTAATTGGTCTCTACGTATGGGCATAATATGAAGATAAACGAAATGGCTTATTTTGGAATGTTTCCTCGTTAGTTCTATCTCTATCATAGATCAAAATTTCAAGTTAGATGATTGTTATTCGCCTAATCTATAAAATTAAGTTTAGATTTCATGATTATAATCATTGATCGAACAAAGACAGTCATAGATAATGAAAACGTCTTTGTGCTCGTAGATCAAAGTAAGTTGAAGTTTCCTATCGGTGGCAGAATAAAGATATAAGGAACTTTATTTATCAATAAAAGAATGAATGCTAACACTTCAAAATAATAGCGAATCAGAATAGTGTCAAAAAAGCCTTTTCATCCTATTCACTAAGACCGATCGACCTTGGATTGGTGCCTGTAGCATTAGAGAATACCAAACTTTATTCATAGTAAAAATCTCAGGCAAAAAAAATCCAAATTTTTTACGACAAAAGAATTTCTTATTAATTTTCAATATCATTCACGAAACAAAAATGATCTATGAAAATAATTCATATAAAAATTTTTTTTGAATACTTACAAATTAGCAAATAATGTAAAATCTTTTGCTTTATATCCAACAGCAAAATTACTTTTTGTTAATCCAGCTTTTGCTGTACTATAAACATATTGATATCCAGCTGACCAACCTTGATAACCCAAAACAATAGCTCCATTAAGTATAGGACCAGCAGCATCCGAACCAATATTTGTTTCAATCTGAGCTTTATCATGTATATAAGTTGTACGAAGTTCAGCTGTTTTTTTTCTTTAAAAAAAAAACCCGAAGAATTTACTTTCTTTGTTTTTCTGTTTCATGAAAAGAAGATTTAATTATACCCTGTATGTGGAACAAGACTAGCATCAAAAACAACTTTAAAACCTTGTGCTAATTGATCATCAGCTGTTATTTCACATTTAAGTAAATTATCTGTATTCCATTTTTCCAAAAATGTTAAACCATATTTTGGAACAGTATATTTTGTTTCAAGACTACCAAATGTTCGTGCTGTTTCGGTATTTTGTTCACCAATTACATTAAAATTAATTCCATTTGATGTACGAGTTTTAACATCAAGTTTGAATAAATTAAAAACTAATTTTTTATATATGAAAAAATAATTAATTATAAAAAATTTTTACAAAAAAAATTAACTTACAAAAGCCTTTATTAAATAAATCTGATACTTGTTTATTAAGATCACCATATTTTGGTGGAGCCATAAATTTATTTCAAGTAAAAGAATATTGATTTAGACGAAGAAAAACAAATAAATAATTCTATAGAGAAAAAAAAAATCATGTACATATGAGATTAACTTATCCTTCGTTTTTTATTGATCAAAATATTAACCAATAAAATATAATTTAATAGTTAAAATATATTCTTTTTTTAAAATATGTTTTATTCAAAATTTTTTTCTAAATAAAAAATAAAAAATGAAATTTTTATTAATATTTAACAAAAGAAAAAATTCTATTGGTAAATATAAAATATAAAATACAACATGACAATGGAGGCAGTTACTCAGTTTAATCACAGTGCAATGGCAAAATTTGTGATCGCTGGTAATGCTTGTCAATTGATATAGAAAATTTTCTTGAAAATATACTTTTTTTCTTTTTGTTAGGAAAAGCTAATTGTCCACATTATGCCAAAGCAGAATTATTAGGAGATTATCTTCAACGAAATTTACCTAATTTTACTATTCATAAATGGTCAATTCAAGCAGAGGTAAGGAACAATCATTCATCTCACATCTCTAAATCACAGTTAACTATCATCCGAAACTTTTCATCGATACGCTTGTTATGCTATGGACACTCATCCAGGACCTTTCAAAACAGTTGACGAAGTGTGTTTTGTCATTAGACATTGCGATGTTTAGTGCTCCGTTCTGGGATACGATGCCTTTCATCTACTGTGGCTGGTGCTACAATTGAATTTCTCTAGAAAGATAAAATGGTATCAAAAATTAAATGAGAATTTTATGTACTCTTAATAGAATCGAGCTCGAAGTTCAGACCAGATCGAACAAGTGGTGCATAAAACACAAAAAAAAAAAACGTTCCAACTTTTGATGTTCCGCTATTCTCAAAAAAAAAATCAACCATTGATTGTTTTATTCTCATTTCCTATTCAGTATCTTGAGAGGAAAGACCTTAGGGCCTAAATCCTATTAAGCTCTTTCATACCTTATCAAGGTCTACTTATGGCCAAAAGATGAAGTCTAAACTCTTTGATCACTTCGGGTAGTTCTCTCGTAAGTAATAACGAAGAAAAAGAATGATATGAAGAGAAGGCCAAGGAAAAAAATCAAAAGTAATTTTTTTCCTATTGATTTTCGTTATTGTGTTCATTGGAAACTAATCATTAGTTACGTGTAATTTTGTATAATAAAATGCGTCCTTTTTATTTATTTAGTCAATGAAGGTGTGAATGTGAGCGCGTAAGAAGACTTACTAGAGCTCTCGGTTCCGGTTAGCAAAATCGAAAAAACAAGCAATTTCTTTTTCTGTTCCTAAAATTTTTGCTAGGAACCGACAATTTCACCGCAATATACAAACTACCGAGTAATTGAGTTTTTTTTAGAAATTTCTACATTTTATCTTCGGGACTCTTTGTGTTCATTACTTCATCAAATAAGTAACTCCTTCAAAAGGTAGAAGAAAAAGTCAAATAATGAGATAAAACACTAACATACATATGAAATATTAATATTACAGATTCTAAAAAACAATATCATCTTCGTTACTCATTTTAAACGTCTTTTTTATTGTTGTAATTGTAGATTTTTATTTAGTTTAGACAGGAGATTACAGAAGATGACTGTTCAACCATCTTTCTTTTCGTTTCAGTTGTATCAACTTCAGCAATTTTTCTCACTACATGATTTTAATAATGCTAAATTTTTCTGAAAAAATAACAATAGGAGAATTTTTTGCTGACGAGAACAGTCCATCTACAATCATGTTCGATGTTTGTACAGCATAAAAATCTTCAACTATAGAAAATAAGATCGATAATTTTAAATTCTATTTCATGTCCACTGAATGAGACATTTGATGTCATATATTCATACGGTGTTGTTGATAATATTAAGGAATTTTGTGGTATATCAAAACAGTATGAAAGAGGACCTTTTGATGTTGTCGATTGAGAATCAAGTAAATTTGTATGAACCGGTGATGGAATAGTAGATAGTATTGTTGGCTGTCGTTTAATAATTTCCGTTTTAACTGACTTAACAACTTTTTCTTGAAAATCAGGATTACTACGAAAACTTTTCATGAATAAATGAAGAAAGGTACTGATATAATGTACAGTCCGCGACAAAAATTTAAACGACATCAGTTTTTCAGTATTTTTTTACAATTCTTTTTTTCAGTATTTTGTTTTCATATTATGAAGTACGGATATGATTCAAAGGGTGATATAGATAGTATGAGAGGCCAGCTACATGATGCATCAAAGAACGAGACTCTGTCTGTTAATATAGATTA